AGATTATGTATGTGAATTGGAATATAAAGTAATTTTTTTTATTTATTAAATAGTAACATTTAACATTTAAATATTTATAAATAGAGGGATTGGAATAGAAGAATTTTTAATTGTTACAACTAAAACTCCTCCTGCCATTCAATGTATACCTTGGCAAGGTGAGCCAAGTGGGACAAAGACAAATATTTTGGCTCGCTTGGAATTTTTGGAAAATAAAAAAGGTTAGGATCTGGATTTGTAGAAAAAAGGGATCCCTTTATTTTTTCCCGATAATTTCATGATTAAATAGTTTGTTAAGCGTATAGGATATACTATTTATCTATTTATCTGTCGTTTTCTATAGTTAAATAAGGTTGAAATAATAATCTATTAGTTATTATTATATAGTTTGAAGATAGACCGTTGTATTTAGATTTCATGTAAATTTCTACTTTATTTTATTTTAGCTGGAATCTCGTTTATTGTGTATGACCGACGAATAAATCTTCATGGATGGATAACTACTGACGGAAAAGCTTATGCAGTACAATTTAATGAACATCGTCCTTCGGTAATTATTAATTAAATTTAGCATGATGATACGTTAAGTAGTTCTCTATCTTATGAACTTATTCTTTTAGGTTGAAAATAATCCTAAAGCTCCGCCACTTTTTTGGACGGGGTTCTGCTTTCATCCAAGTGATTCAAGTGGTGACCTTGAACCTGCCAAGGATGTCCGAGCAACTTGTATAGCTATCAATGCTAAATTTTCTTTGTTGGCTGTGGGGACCGAAAAGTAAATATATTCATATTTCTCACATTATAATTTTATCTTATTTATTTTATTTTCGATTGACTTGATTATAAATCTTTATTAGTGGAATGGTTTATGTATATTTTGCAAAGAATTATAGCGGAAGCATTAATCTCTCACATAAATTGTCAATACGGGACCACATAGAGTCAACGTTAAATATCCTTTTATTTTCGACTAAGATATGTTGTAATATCTTTCATCGTAGAGAATTTTATGAATGAAAATTTATTAATTGTTTTAGCCTTAACTCACATATATACTTTCTACAGGACCTGTTACAACGCTTGCGTGGACTTCTGATGGCCACGCAATTGCAGTTGGATGGAAACATGAAGGATTAGCCGTTTGGAGCGTTTATGGTAGATTATTGATGACAACTGTTAGGGATGATTGGTCTATATCAAAGTAAATCTACTATTTTATAATTAATTTAGGATCCTAAGTAAAGCTTCATGAATTAACTTTATTTCTTATAATTTAATAGACCAATTACCCAAGATTCCTTTTTGTATGGCGTTAATGATCTTGTAAGCGAAAAGAAATTGATTTAAAACTCATTATTTTTAAATATTAAAATCAATTTGTTTACATAGTTTTGGAGTTCAGGAAATTGTGAACTTTTCCTCTTACATACCGCAAAAGATGAAAAAGGTAATGTTAGATAATGGAAATACTGTATTTAAAAATTGTAGGTTTTATTCCATTAGTAAATTTTGGAACATGCAAAATTCAACATTTCCGGAACATCTGTTTGAGTCAACGTTAATATGGGATGCACTTTTTTAACTATCATTGTCCAACCTGATATAACTGATGGTTAATATTACATCATCAAAATTTTTCGCGCTCGTGCTATGATTAAGTCGTGTAACCAAAATTTCTTAAGTAAACATTTTGTTAAGTGGGGTGATCAATTGAATGAATAGATAATTATTCGGTCAAGTTAAGATCTAAGAGATGAAGTACTTACATATTGATATTAATTAAGTGAATCTTATCTTTCTTTGTTATGTTAATCAGAAGGTCAATTGTATACGCTTCCATTTGCTAAATCTGCCGTTACTACGATTCACAGCCCAGTTAGTATTTAATTTGAACGCTTTTATTATTTATTATTATTTATTATTATTTTTTTTTTTAAAAAAATAATTACAATTATTTATTTAGGATAACGCAAAAAGAGGATTTTTGCATATGGACGATCGTTTGTTGCTTTATCGAGGAGGAGATCAAGAAGACCTTAGTGCGATTAATCCTGATACTATAGTTTGGCAGCATATTCCTGTATGTAATAATAATCTTTAAATTTAAATTTATGAAGTTATTTAATGAAATACTTCTTTATAACATACATAGATACCAATTATGTATATCAGTGACAATTGGCCAATAAAGGTGACTAATATATTATTTATTATAAATATTTTTTGTATATTGTATGTATGTTAACTTATTTGTCACATGTATAGTATGCATCGATAAGTAGTGATGGTAGATATATCGCGATCGCTGGGCGACGTGGTTTAGCGCATTATAATGTTTCGTCAGGTCGATGGAAACTTTTTGGCAATCAGCAACAGGTTCGCTAAGGAAGGTTTTGGTCATTTTCAATAATGAAATGGTTTATATTGAATTATTTTTACAGGAACAAGAATTCACTGTTCGTGGTGGATTATTGTGGTTTATGCAAATTTTAGTTGCAGCATGTGAGAATGTTCGAACTCGTACATTCGAGGTGAGTGACGGTCAAAATCAATTATCAATATCTCTTTTAATAAATTTTTTTTTAAAAAAACAACTTTTTACACTAGATACGAATGTATTCTCGTGAAACAAATTTAGATAATATTCACATGGTGCAAAGTATTGTTATACCAAGCACAATATTATATTTAAGTATAATGGATAATGCTTTATTGGTGTATTGTGGAGATAATATGATGTATCATTATCTTGTATCGACAGATGAGGGTTCGGTTTTACTCGAATTATGTCAACAAATTTCATTTGTTGGTGTTATCCACGCTCCAGCCAGAGTTAGATCTATATCATGGTTCCAGCCGAAACTACATAGTAAATAATTAACGGTTTTTACTCTGTTTTCATGTTTGTAGGTTAGATTATATAAATGATTTTATTTTATTTAAATAGGACCCTTCACTCCTGAAACCATTCAGTCAGCTTCGATTATCTTTTTAATTGATGGCAAACTTGTGCTGCTACATCCAAAAAAGGTAAGCATCTTATATAATAATGATTTTAAACATATAATTCGTTTATTAATTATTATTATTATTCAGAGTGATGAAGGTGAAGTACAATATGATTTACACATTCTCGCCGATAAGATAGAATTTTATTGGATGTCTACTCGTGGAATTGGAAGTTTAAAGAATTCTTTATGGGCATGTGATGGACAAGGAGTGAAAGTAAATATAATTGACTTTGCTTTTAGGTTGCTTTTCCGATCTTTTTCATATGTTCAAAATTCTTTGTTCCGATAGATATGGATGAATATTTGGTCTAACGAAGAAAGTGCGAGAGATTGGCAGAATGATGTTTTATTATCTGCCACTAAGGAGTGTTTACGTATTTCACTTGAATTTTATCCTTTATGTAGGTCAATTAAATTTTTATATTATTTATTTATTTTTGATGATATATTAAAACAGTCCTTTTTTTTTATGTCATGTAGCCGTTTTGCTTGATAAAGGTATTATCGTAGGCGTTCAACAACAAACATCTATTAGACAATCTTTAGAATTTCCAGTATTTAAATTAATGACAAACGTAAGTTTACTAAGTTTATTAGAGAACTTATTATTTATTGAGAAATTATTAACCATAAATTGTTAATTAGACACATTTGTTCTTACAACATATATTACGGTATATGTTGTCCAAAGAGTAAGTACATTTTGATAAATTTGATATCCTCTTGTGACTTTGACTATCAATTTTTTTTTTTTTGTTTTCCTTCCTAGACTTGAAGAAGAATCCGTTGCATTTGCAACAAGTTATCAAAAATTAGTTTACTTTGGACATGCAGTTGAAATGTTACTACATCTTGTATTGGAAGATGAAGCAGAGCATGCCATTGGGACTGCTCAAGGTATGATACAAGTTTATACTAATTACCCACTTGTTAGAATGTTAACATCAATTATATTAATAATAATAATAATATTATTATTATTATTATAGGAGCCGTTCTACCAAGAGTGGTAAAATTTTTAAATAATTTTCCACATTCACTTGATGCTATTGTTGGATGTGCACGTAAAACCGAAGTAGCATTGTGGAGTTATTTATTCTCTATTGTTGGAAGTCCAAAAGATTTATTTGAGGTAATGTAGTAACAGAATTAACCATTCCCTTAATTTCGAATGTTCAATATATTTTTATTTAAAATCATTAAAATCTAAATTGATATCAGAGATGTCTTTCTACTGGATTACTTAAAACGGCTACATCATATTTATTGGTTCTTCATACGTTAGAACCAGCTGATAGTAGTAAAGATACCATTAGATTATTATCTAAGGCGATGGAGACGGAAGATTACGAGGTAAATAAAATTATACGATTATAATAATTTGATTAACTAATAATAATTTACTATTTATTTAATTGGTTTAGTTATGTAAAGAACTTGTGAGATTTTTAAATTCAATAGATGGTATGTCTTTTGTCAAATGTAAAAATTTTTTTTTTTTTTTTTTTTTTTTTTTTGATATTTGAACTCTTTTTAAAATTTAGGGTCTGGAAAGACATTAAAAGAAGCAATATTATCTATTCAACAAAATATAAATGAAAATTTGGAATCACCTACATCGTCATATCATAATATTAATAATGCAAATGGTAATGTTGATAATGTGGTTTTTGAAACATAATATTCATTAATCATTTATATTTAAAACCGTTAACCGTAATATCTATCATTTTATTTATTATTTTCATAATTTTGTAACGTAAAATAAATAAATAAATAATATTAATCTTAATAAATTAATAATATACTGCAAAAAAAAAAAACAAAAAAAAAAAAAGGAAATGCACCTTTCAAAGTTTTCCTTTTTAAATTAAAAATATTATATTAAGAAAATAAACGTTTTTCATAACTGAATGATAATATTTATAGTTATTAAATGTGATTAAAAATCAAAAAAAGATTGTCATTCGTAAAAGTTTAGATATATACTTACGAGTATAAACCATGTACGCCGCCTTCAACTTGAGCAGAGGCAGTTCTTAACTCGAACCTAATTTTACTGCTTTTTACATCATCTCTTAATCTTTTTAGATTTTTTGCACCGATATCTTGTAATCCATGTTGAAGTCCTGAAATAAGGTAAGGTACGAATTTTCTTATACTACCTTTATCAACCACAGCACCCGCAACCCCTTGAGCTACTTTTACCACATCCCTTTCACTAAAATATCTTTTAGCGGCATTATTATCATTAGAATTACCGGAAGTACCTTGAGAGCCATGACGTTCCATTGCGTCTAATGAACCCATGCCTCTATATTTTTTCAATCGTTGCCCTTCATGATAAAAATAGTCTCCTGGAGATTCAGTCGTTCCTGCTAATAAACTACCCATCATTACTGCTGATGCACCTAATGCTAATGCCTTGGTTATATGACCAACATTTTGTATACCTCCATCTGCTATTACTGGTATACCAAATTGTTCAGCAAATTGTGCTACTTTATATACCGCTGAACCTTGTGGCCTTCCGACGGACATGACTTTGAAATCGAAAAGGAAATAAAAATGATGTTAGTTGAATAAACTCTAACCTTCAAAAAGAAACAAACAAAAAAAAAAAAAAAGTTAAATATCGTATACTTACTTTCCTGAGTAATGCATATACTACCACTACCCATACCAACTCTTAATGCATCAGCTCCGGCTTCAATTAAAGAAGCTGCTTGTTCTCTAGTGACGACATTACCAGCAATAATATCTAAATTATCACCATATGTATTTTTAATATATTTAATCATTTCAATTTGATATGAACTGTTTCCTTGACTTGAATCCAAGACTACTATGTCCAAACCGGCATCAACCAACTTTCTAAGACGTAATTTGTCATCGGATCTAGTACCAACTGCCGCTGCACAAATTAATTGCTTTGAATGTGGTGATTTTGATGCCAATGGAAAATTTAAATTTTTTAATAAATCGCTACGTGCTAACAAGGATACTAATTCCCCTCTTGCGTTTACAATGGGTAATTTTCCGCGTTTACTTGAACGAAGAATTTGATTTGCTTTATCCAACGTTACTCCTTCTTGTGCTAACACCAAATCTGTGGTCATCACATCTTTTAATAATGTAGTATCATCTTCGTGAAATTGAATATCCCTTGCCGTTACAATACCCATAAGTATGCTATATAATTTCCCATTAGCTAAAATAGGAAAAAAAAGTAAGTCACGTGAATAATTAAAACAATGGATCATCGGACAATTGATTTTTTTGATGTTTTAGATCAGATAAAAAAATTTTTTTCCACAAGGTTAATTAAAACCATTACGGAAGAACGAAAGTTATTACAATATTTTTTTAATCATCATTTTCAGAAAAAAAGAAAAAAAAGAACATTCAAAAGGAAGGAATGAAAAAGAAAGAAGAGAAAATATTTACCGGTTATTGGAATACCACTATAACCAAATTGAGCTTTGATTCTACGTACATCGGCAACTGTATGATTTGGTGTTAAACAAACGGGATTCGTGATAAACCCATTTTCAAATTTTTTAACCTTTCTAACCATGTCAGCTTGTTCATCAGATGAACAATTACTATGAATAACTCCAACTCCACCAAGTAACTATATATTACAAAACATGGTTTAATAAACTTTTTCTTTAAACGAGAGTGTGGTCAATTATTACTTACAGCCATGTTTATAGCCATGTCGGTTTCAGTTACAGTGTCCATAGGAGAACTCATAAAAGGAGTTTTTAATACAATGTTTCTGGTTATTCTTGATTCTAAGGAAACTTCTGATGCGGGAAAATCAATATATCCTGGTAGTATTAAAAAATCATTATATGTTAACCCTCCATTTTTACGGTTATCCATCATTTCTTCTGCTGATAATCCATCCGCCTCACTTAGATATTTTGTTGCTTGTCTAGGGTCTAAAAATTTAGAATTTGTGGGAGTAAATTTAAGGTCATCATTATGAACCATTTTTAATGGTGAAATTTTTTTTTTTTTCCTGTGAAAGAAAAAATTCTCGAAACTTATCGGAAATTTTAAACATGCACATCAATATAGTAATGCACAATCCTGATTGATCGGTGCTTACAATAAAGTCAATAACCAATTGAGTGTGATCATACGATTTTTGGTTGTTCACCCATCAAAAAATTAGGGATGTTTACTGATTCGCCTTGGTGATCACATCCCTCTGTACAACCTAACGATGTAAATAACATCATGTCTGAAGATATTTTACCATCTCTTGAAGAAATCAAGAAATTTGACACAGATACTCTTATAGAATTTTTAAAGAGACAAAATTTAAATCTTAATAATGACCATTATAACAAAATCCGCGATGAAGAAATTAATGGTGAAGCTTTTATTTATTTGACCAAAGAAGAATTAAGAAATTATGGAATGAAAGGAGGGCCTACAAAGAGAATAGCAAGGTTTATCGAAAGACTTAATGTGATAAATGGTAAGCATTTTGCTTTTTATGCATTATTTATTATTTTCTATAAATAAAACGTTTGGTTTCATTTGATTTTATTTAGAGAATCAATTACTTAAATGTAAAGCTTCATATTGAAGACATACAAAAGAATTTTCTTTTTCCACTTCCTTCAGAGAAAACTTGTGGAAACAATTATGTAATATCATTAAAGAAGAATTTGATGAGCAGCTACAAGAAGTTGAAGATGATTTAATTGAAATAGTACCAGAATCGTATACAAAAATTAAAAATAAATTAGCATTTGAAAATTTTATAAAAACAATTCCTAAGGATCAAAATGGTTTGAAATATATCGAATTTAAAGTGGAATATTGCGAGTATTTTCTGCTTTTATGAATATTGCTGAAGTCATCGACTTCTATTTCAATAAATAACTTCTATGTAACTAATTGTATATAGTTCAACAAGACTTTTCTATATACAAGGGTTAATTCAACTTGAACCAATATTTGGAATAACTATACGTAATTTTGAAAGTTGCCTCGATTGAACCTTTGTAAGAAGTAATTATTGTAAATTGACATTTTTAACAAACTATATAATTTTCTAATTTGTTTATTTGAACATTTTATTAAAGCTTCGGAGGCAAATATATCACCGTATGATGATGCTATCACTCTTGCTATAAAGAACGTAAAGGTATTATGGAATTCTTTTTTATATAATATAAAATATAAATCTATACTTATACAACTTTTTCTATTAAGTTATTTTTAAAAGTAACTGGAACAATTGATGGACGTAATGAAATAGAACGTTCAAGATTTATTGATACCATCTTGTGCAATATTGTCTCGACCTTCAATAGAGAATAAAATGTTAAATTATACCTTAAATTTGTTTTAACCAGTCCCTATGGTAAAGGACGTACAGATTTATTTATTAATTGTGATGATACAATAGTCTGTATAACGGAAGTCAAACGTACAGATCTAGAATATGGGTTTTGTCAAAACCTAATTCAATTGCAAAATGCATGCAAAGTAAGTGTTGTCTTCAAAATATAGTTTTACACATTACTATTATTATTCATTTTAATTTAAAGTAATTATTTTTTTTAATATTGGAAAATATTCGTAAAAGGAAACGAGATCAAGATGATATTGAATATGTATATGGCATTGTATCTACTGGTGAAAAATGGTATTTTACATTAGTTTCTTCTGATAATAGAGTAGCAAAAAGTGAAAAACCAATAACCTTAAGCCTTGATAATGATGATATTGACGATGATACCCTTAGGAATCAAGCAGGAAAATTATTTGCTGTGATTCTTTCAATGCTTATAGAAAAAATAACAAGTATTTCAGAAAATTCTGCTAATAAGAAGCAACGATTAAATGAACTTTTGCATTAGACAATGTCATTATTAAAAAATCATTTGGTATCATCATATTTGTAAATTTTATAAAGATTTTGATACAAAATGTATACTGCAACTAAGCTTTTTGTATTGTTTAAAGATAAATAATCTTGAATTTATTGAAATAAAATAATTAGGATAAATGAAAAATACTAATTTCTTGAAAAAGTAAAAAAAGAAACAAAATGTTACAAGAATTTAATATATCATTTATATATAGGTTTATAAATATATGAAAATAATAATTATAATGGTTTTAATAATTATAAAAAAGCAATTTATTTTTGTATACTTTTTAAGAATTAAGAAAAATTTTTTTAAATTTGAGTATTCTTTATTATCAATTAATTTTATATATTTTTTTTATTTTTTTTTTATTTATTGCTTGATTTAAAATTAGAAAAAAACTGATTGAATTTTTAATTCTCATTAAATATTTAAAATCATAAAAAATTTAAATCAAACAAAATATTTTAATGCTATATAAGTAAAAAAGATTTTTAATACTTGAATATTAAAATAATTTTGGAATTTTTATTTTAAGTATTTAAAAATATCAATATTTTTTCTTTAAAGCAGTTAATCTTAATATAATTAAAGTTTGTTAATGGATTTTTTGCTAAAATTTTATTTATTAAAAATTAAAAAACAGATATTTTAAAAATTAAATCTTTATCTATTTTAGTATTAATCTTATTTCATTAGATTTTAAAAGATAATAATATCTTTATAATAATATTTACTTATTTTTAAAAGATGAATATAAAGATATTAATTATTTAAAACTAATTATATTACTACAAATAAAAATAAATAATGATAAATATAATAATAAAATTAATTTTTAACCAAGAATTTTAAAAATTATTTATAATAAAAAAAATATATTTTTTCTTAAGATAACTGTAATTCATAAATTTTATAATATCATAATATCTTTGTTTAAAGAAAAAAAAGTAAATATATTTACCTTTTACTTAAATAATACTAGTAAATTTAATTATGAAAAAATTAAAAAGATTAAATTAGTCTATGAAAAGTTTTAATAATTATTTAAAGAAAGAAAAATACATTTAATAAGAATAATTAATATTGATATAATAAGTGATATACATATTTTATCTATTATTAAAGATTTATTAAATTAAATTTAATAAAGAAGTTAATAGTCAAAATAGCATTAGAAATTTTAATTAAAAATAAAATATTATTTACTGTAATCAAGTTAAAATAAAAATAGATTTTAGAATAGTTATATAAAATAAAGTTAAGAAAATCATTCAAATTTGATGTAAGTATCAATGATGATACTTTTTATATTATGATTACTAAAAAGCTTTACAGACTTTCATTATATCATAATACAGTTCTAACTTATATTTTTAAAATGATTCCTTAAAAATATCACAAATTGGTTCAAGTATATCTGTAAAAAGTTCTGACTTGATATCCAGAACGCTTAAACAAAATCAGGTGATTGAATCCAAAATTTTTCATATTTATTTTCTCAAGTTCCATTTTTATTCTCTCTCATATAATTTTTTCATAACTAGTACTCTCATTTATACACTAACCAATATCATGTTTTAAAGATCGTAAATTTGTATTTACATTTTCATAATAGACTTCAGTATCAATTACAGTAGTAGCGAAAAAACTAGCAGTAAATAAAAATTCATTTACTCAATCAATATTTATTAAATCATTCAAAACTTAAAATATAAATAAATTAATACCACATTTATTATATATTAAAATTTTAATATTGAATTATATTGCCATTCCTTTCAATTACCAAATTTACTCTCCTTTTCATACTATTGATTAAATTAAGGCAGAGGTTTTGATCGATATTAAACTATTCACCCTTAATAATTTCCATAAAATCCTTTGTATAACCAGTTTTTTTACTAATTTGTTTATTGACCTTCTTTTCTACCTTTTTCTTGATAATTGTTCACAAATTTTCTATTGGATTCAGATCTGGAAAATATGACGGCCAATTGAGAACCGCAGGATATTGATTTTTGAGAAGAGACACCGTAAGCTTGATTTTGTGTTTCAGATCATTGTCCTGTTGGAATGTCCAAGACCCTTCAAAAAGCTGATATGCTTGATTAAAAAGATTATTTGTTAAAATTTTACAGTACAACTCCCCATTCATGTTTTCAGTAAACATGTGAAACTCAACGATTCTTTGCAAACAAAATGCCTCCCAAACATGAACTTTGAATGGGTGTTTGACAATTCCACAAGTTGGTTTTTCTTCACCTCTTTATAACGAACTAAGGTGATGTTACAGAACATTTAAAAGGTCGTTTCATCAGAAAAACCATATTTTTCCAATTTTTATTTTTATGAACTTCTACCCAAGAAACTCGTCTTTCTTTTGCAATTGAAGTGAGGAATATGGTTTTTTTAAGAACACAAACTTGGTAACCAAGCTTCCAAAGGTTCTTATAGACTGTGCAAATGGCTATATTAAGACCTGGATAAGTATTATTAAAAGTGTCTGCAATTTCAAAACTTGTTGCACTAGTACGCGAACGAGTGAGCTGATCAAGATAACGCTGCTTTTCTGGATTTAAAACCTTTGGGTGTTCTAGACGACATCATTATTTTAAAATTTTTAGTTTTTTTAACTGTGATGACCACTGATACAGTGTCCTTAGTGAGAACTTGGTAATTTTGTGTAATTCATTTACATTTTGTGTTTCATTATTCTACAATAACTTAACTATCTTACATTATTCTTTAATAGAAATTTTTTGCGACATTATTATATCATATCGGTCATAAAGCATTTTTGTGTTCAGTTTTTTATGCATATTGATCAGTATAATATAGTAAATAACTAAACAAAAAATTGGTTTGTGTTGTCCAATTAGATGTAATATAAATCATTATTTTAATCACATGATTGCAACTGCTATTTTTTTCTGCCACTATTGTACTAACACTTTTATTTTTGAGAATAAACATAGATCTTTGAATGCTGTCATAACTAAAATGTATTTAAAATTAGTTTTTCAAAACTCATTTGATAAATAATTTAATTTTAATTGTGGGATCAAATTAGATTTTCATTTTCATAAAGTTTCAAGTGCTGGTTAAATGTTTGATATGTAACTATATGCTGATATATAATATAAAACTAGTTACTACTGTATGGAAAGTAATAATATTATAATGGATATCAGCCTTTTACTAGTAATATACTATGCTAGAAAACCTAAAAATAAAGTCATCATATCATACATTTATCATAAAATAATTTATCACTATACCTGTTTCGCTAGTTTTTTTCCAATACCAAAACTTTGAAGCTTTTTTATCTGCTCAATATCCTTTAAGGAGACTCATTCTAAAACTCTTTATAAATCATTTTTAAAGTTTTCCACTTCTTTTTTGAGAACGCCTGTTCATTCACTTTGTTTTACTTATACAAACAATGCTATGAAAATTTCTTGTTTTTTACCTGACCACTTTCACTTTCTCAATATCATTAAACTTTATCAGTGAAACTTTAAACATGAATGAGTATCTAAAGTTCTAGGTGATCTGTAGTTAAAGTATTCTTATAATCTGTAAAATAAGATTTCAAACTTAGTATTCAATCTTAAAATGAATGAAGTTATTATATACAAATTATATATCATATTTCAAATCCAGTTTCTATCAAAATTTCTTGACCTATTAAAGTTTTGATCAATTTGATCAAGACTTAAAATTTGTTTCTAAATTTCTAAAGTAATTTTCTATTGAAATAACATACCAGTTGTTAGTAAAAAAAAAAAACAAATTATATGATATATAATAAAGAATGAACTTATAAGGTTGAAGCTATTTAGATACTTAATCCAATCAAGAGGCATTAATGGTATTTCCTTGACTTGAAAATGGCAAATTTCATATAATTCACTTTTGGTAAAAATATTTTCTTTCAGGTAAGTATCGTCGTCAGCAATAATTTGCATTTATGCTTCTAATAGTGTAAAATTTGATTAGAAACTTTCTATCTAAATGAATTTATTAGAAAATTATACTTTCAACCTTTCCAAAAGTGCTTCTAAGAATGCTTCTAATTTTTTAAGTGTATATCATTAGTTGTTAGGGTTCAAGACAAATAAATGAGCAAAACTTTTTATATAGGAATAAAGTGAATAAAATTCATACATTCTGAAGAATGTAAGCAAATTATTTACATATAAACTTACTACAATGTAGACTAAAGTTATAAAGCGTCTTTCACAACAGTTTCAGTTGTAAGTATCCACTTATTGAAATCATCTAATTTAGTGTAGGATTTTTCATATTTTTCATAATCATACATAGACAACTTTTGAGAATTATCATCATCTTATAGGATCATAGAAATAAGTAATAAAGAATTCAATAA